TTTTTTTTTTTTTTTTTTTTTTTTTGCTTTATGGAACTAACGCAGGATCTTTTACAACACAAATTACCTTTTATATGTTGCAGTACCGTAATTACTTATGCAAGGAAGATCGTAAAGTTATTTAATATTTATTACTTTTTTACTTAGAGTTGGATATACTGCTTCTTTTGAAAAAAGAGGTAAAATTATAACACTGTTAAAGCTACTGTGCTGAACTTGTAGAGTGGCATAACCGTGCTAATCATTTAATTATTTTAAAACTTAACGTTGCGATTTTCTTCTATTTCGCTTTCTTTAAAACATGGATCAGTACAAGTGAATCTTTAGGCTATTTTTGTGAAGGCTTTTTTAATTTTGTTTTTCTTGACCTCTAGTTCCTACTAGCTGCTAAACTGCCTACCTAAAAAACTTCTCTTCAAAGGGGTTGGGAATGAGTGGTAGTGGTTGGGTTTCTGAGATATATTATGGAGAGTATGAAAAGTAGCTTTGGATTTTTGAAGTAGAATAGGGAAAATATGGAAAGTAGAATCTGGGTAAATACGGTCACTCTAATTGTTCTTTTCTGGTGATTAAATCGGTTGAAGGCCTTTCTACTTGTGATATTTCACTAGACATTGTTACTTGAAATTACCTCTTTTGCAATTATTGATGATTAGGGGTATTGCTTGTGAATCTTAAACATGCAGTTCTAGGAGGAATGTGTTTTACTTCCTCCTTGTCCCTTTCGTACAATCAATTTTTCCCTTCCTGGTTTTACAAAGTGATTTCTTTAACTTGGCCTTATTTAACTTCTGTTTTATTTTTGGTGCTTTTTTTTGGGCTTCATAACGGAAGGTTTTACAGCTTATCTCAGTGCATGACTCATGATCATTTTTATTGTACTTATTTTATAAATATTGTTTCTGTAAGTACTGTGAAATCTTTTTAAATACAAAATTTCTATTAAAACTGGAATTTAACAAGTAGCCGCTTGATTTTGCGTACTAGTTTCTGGACAAGCGTACAAAATTAGGACGAATACTCGTGTTTGCCAATCTTAACTGTCGATGTTAAACGATGAGTTGTCAGTAGCACTGTGAAATGTTCAAAAATTAGACTAATTTTTGAACTTACTTAAAATTATTTGAGGATCTTTAATGTTGAATTTTGATTTCATACGTTATATCTTTTAGTAATAGGTTAGGATGTAAGTTCTGGTTGAGGAGAACTACCTTTGCTCCTTAGCATGCGTTGATGGCTATCTTGCAAGTTTAGTAACGGTCTCACGCATTTTCGTGAGCCTTAGTGATTTTTTAGTTCAGCCATTGAAGAATAACTATTGAAGAATATAAGTAACCCATTCTTTGGTACCCATGTTTACAATTTTTGCTAAAAAGCTCTATATTGATCGCACGATGATATACAGAGGACAGCAGCTATTACTTTGTCATCTATGCAGTAATTTATTGCTATCGTGGTCGAGCATGGAAGAGTCTGTAGCAAACCGAAGAGGGATTAATTTTGTGATTACTTTTGTATCGTTGGTAGATGCTCTCAAATGAGTAACCGCTTGTAGAGTTCTTGAAAGCTGAGCTATGTGCAAAAGGAAGGAGTAGGGACTTACAGAATACCGTGTGCTCAAGTCTAAGATATTGGTGAGTAACAGCTGCATACAGCTGTAGGCAGGCGGTAGTCTAAGATATTTATGTACCAGGTATTTGGAGATATTATGAAACGGGAACAAAAGATTGTTCGGTGTGTATGCGTGTTTTTGGTTTGAGTGTCGGTCGGGTTAGATTTTTGAACTTTTTGGCGGTTTAGATTGGGGTGGTGGCTATTTGTATTAAATAGATTATATTTCATTATTTACTTTAAGTTTGGCTGTAATTTGTTTGTATATAAAAACCTGTTACGTAGTGGCTTTCTGCGATGGAAGTCTGAGTTTGAAGTTCCATTGGACAGTGGTGAAGTTTACCTATCAAAATGTATATTTAAATCTTCCGTAACCAAAACTGGGCGCAGCAAAAAGCCTATTTTCACTTTATTCGACTGAACGGTTTTAACAGAAAAAAGTTCTTCAGGAATCCCGTCTCAGTTTATAAAGATGGGTTTTAAAGAGTGATAGTGTACACAAAGCTATTGTGAGAGCAGCTGAACTGCTTGAAAGCTGTTGCCATTTCCGAAATCTCTAAAGAGCCAGTTTGGTTAACAATACAACGTTGACAATGCTTCCGTGAAGACCATTCTTTTGCTTATCTGTGCGAGATCTCGCTGACATTATACGTGTTTTGCGGACCAATTCTTCTTGAATTTAAAAGCTTGTCTTTAAAAACAAGGTGCTTACCAAGAAACGAAGGATTCACGACGAAGACTGATGGCTTTTTATAAGGAGGAATTGACTTTTTACCTGTTGGGCTGTTAAGCAGATCCATTTTTATTCTTTTGCTGATAACAGACTACGTCAGTTAATCCTTCCTACAACCGAGTTCACAATCTTTGAACTTTAATTAATGGTGATCTGGTCTTTAATTTTATTAACACTTTTGTTCTTTGAAGCGACTTTTTCTTCTCATTCTGGTGGATGGATCTTTTCAACCATTAGCAGTAAGGACCTAAAAGGACTTTTACTGATATTTGTTAAGTGTTTTATAATGCATTTGAAATTGATTTCATCTGGCTTTATACGAATGATTAACTGATTATTCAAACGCATTCACGTTTAATTTTTGACTTAATTTGGGAAAAAAAGAGAATCTGAGAGACCAGTTAGATACTAGCAAAATATAGAAGCTGCCGGTTGGAAATCGATGAAGGTAAACTTATAAAACAAAAGGTGGGACGTGTGGCGAAATTTCAACACTATGTGCATATGACTACCGTATCCGTAGCATTTGGGTTACTAAACCAATTGTTTTGGTTCAGTATTTGCTGCCTTTTCAATACACTGGTTTCTTTTTCTTTTTAGTTAACAAAAAACATTGATGGGAGTAACCATTCTGTAAGAATATTCACAAATTGTAAGCGATTCAAGAGCTTCTTCTGTGCTGTCAAAGAGATGTAGATTTTCTGAATACTGCTTTAAGAATGAAAGCTTGTTTAAACATCAGAACCTGACCCCGATTTAATGAGGTGCTTAGAACTGCAGTACCATAAACAAACTAAATTTGACAGTGACAGGCTTCCTGCAACTGGCATTTGTTTCAGACGTCTTTTTGAAGCGACAATTCTCTATTGACGTTTGAGTAAACGGATCAGCAAGTGATCGAGAAGTAAAATGATCAAATTCAACTGGACAGCAGCAAACCCTACTGGAACACTAAATAAAAAAGTTAAACGAAAAAAGCTATTTTCTAAAGAAAAGGACACCACACAAGTTCATGAAACTGAGGTCTTTTTAAAAACCTTTTCAACACTTTTGCAGCGTTTTAAACCCTTCTTTTCCACTCTTTTATACCATTCTGACAGGCGATAACACTGCCAACACTTTGTTTCTCTTTTCAGCCGTTAAAGACAACTTGATTCCCTCTCCTTCACTGCCTTATTTTCACAACCAATCGATGTTGCTGCTGGAACTTCTGAGCCGGTTTGTAATGTTTTTTGGTCAGAAATTCCAACCTTGTTCACTTTTTGTAGTTGAAAAAGTTCTTTAAGAGCAGGAAACTGAAACTATTAAAAACTATGGTAATAAGCAATTCACAAAATCTTAGCGCATTTAGACGTATAAAAACTTACAAATTTGCAATTATGTATTACTCAGCCAAAAATATTTCTCTTCTCTATGT